TTATCTTCTGCTGTTTGTGCATTTTGGGCTATGCTTGATAGTCTATTTATGCCATAAATAGGCCCCTAAGTTTGTGCCTCTTTTTCCTTTAATGATCTTTATAGTTTTAGGTTTTACATAGAGGTCTTTGATCCATCTTGAGTTATATTTCTGATATGGTGTGAGATATGGATCCTGTTTCATTTTTCTGCAAATGGATATCCAGTTTTGCCAGTACTGTCTGTTAAAGAGACTATCTCTTGACCATTTAATGAGTTTCAGCCCTTTGTCAAAGATCAGTTGTCCATTGGTGGATGAATTTACTTCTGGGTTCTCAGTTCTGTTCCATTAATCTATGTGTCTATTGTTGTACCAATACCAGGCTGTTTTATCCAGTACTTTTATTTATTTATTTATATTTGTTCTTTAATTTTTATCATGATTTGGGTGAAAGTTTACAGAGCAAATTCATTTTCCATACAGCATCTCCTACACATTTTTGTTTCATGACATTGACTGCAATCCCCACAATATAACTGCTCTCTTCCTACTTCCTCTCTGTAGTTACTTCTTCCCTGTATCCTTCTTTCCTATGCATTCCTGCCCCCTGAGCTATCTCTCTGTGCAAATACTGCCCTTCTATTATCCCATGATTGATCGTTCTAAGGAATGTATCTATGTAGTGTAAATGTTCACCCTGTCTATGGCTTGGCTGGAAGCCATGGAGTGAACTCAATTCCAGGCCCAAAGAGTAACTAGGGGCCATAGTCTCAGGGATTTCACCAGCTTCTTGCCGCGGACCAGCACAGCCACTGGATTCGGCACTAAGCCCGAGGAAGACTTAAGGTGAATAGGGAGTCGGTGATTTGGCTAACAGATTACAAACAACTCAAAGGCTGAGTGTATCTGAGAGCATTTATTGCCTTTAGCTACATGTTTTTATAGTATAACCAATTCTTCTTTTGATCTTAATTTCACAAGCACAAGCTTACACAAAAGCACAAAAAGTAAAGTACCTTATCAAGAACAACAAGTTTACAAGTTCCCATTACATCACAATTCTAAGTACTACAACAATGATCATAGTTATTGTTTTGGCTTTTTGTCGTATACCCTGAGACTTTCCATTA